ATCGATCTGAAACAACCAAGCAGCCCCGTTTCTGGCTGAGGGGGATATTGACCGTACTCCGAACCACTTACATTGTATTGTAAAAGCGATCCAGTTAGATGCATCGGCTCAGAGAGTAAAAAAGTGTTGATTGAACTGGTGCAACACTCTGTCCTTAATCAGATTTGTTCCTCCCAATGCTTAGTGTTTCGAGCCTCGTTTACGTGATTAGATATAGTATTGCCCCACAACGGACACAACATATCTGCAATAACATCCAACTATATTTTTATATTTGTTAAATAAATACCCAAAACAAGTATGGAACCTCAATTTCCATGAAAGTTGCTGGTATATCGATTTCAAGAAACCTCATTAGAATTTATTTATAAAATGACTCAAAAGCACGATTCACTTATTGTCATTTTATTTCGTCATTAACCTACTTGCCCTTCTTTGTTTCTGAGCGCTGACATTGGACACTGGAATGTCTTTATAAATTGAGAGTCATGCTGCTCGACTTCAATCATTACCAGTATGTATTATACCACCTAATGACAAACCTATTCTAAAAAAATACAGCTCAAACAGTGTTTTTGAATGTCAGAGCTCCAGGACTCTCTGAACCTATCGAGTAAACCATTGAGTCAAGAGAATCGACAAAACCGCTTTTATGAGCGCTCTAAACACTCTGAACTGATTTCACTCTTTGATAAGACCTTTGGACTTATTTGATTTCCGTGCTTCCAGAAATTCTCGTTATCTGCTGAAGGTGGTTGGAAAACGGATGTATACGGGCCTCCTTGTGTGTGATCTTAAGGTGGTTTTGGAAACTGTCCATCTGTAAACTGGGTTGTCACAGCTCACTTACTGTTCGGTCATCTAACACCTAGATTTGCACTGAAAGTCGTGTAGGGTGTTTACTTTTCGAAGTACTCATCTGTTGACTTTACCAAATAAAAGGTGTTTCAAGCTCTTTGAATATGAGCAATAGCTGATACCTGAACCGGGACTGAATCGTTTTGTACATCAACCTGTGTTCAGGAGGCAATGTTATTTACGATCACCATGAGCTTGGCTCAATCCGAAACCGAGAAGGAACTCATGGTTTGACGTATGATCTATTTTACCCTTAGAGCAACGTCAAGGAAAGAGACATATCAGTAATCCGATGGATGGAATCCCTGGAGTAGGGGCTCAGACTACTGCAGATGTCCTGGCTTCATTAAACGCCGATTGTGTACTAAGAACACACGCCAACTGAACATTGAGGACACAGAAATGTTTTTTCCAGAATAAGAGTCATGTTGCACAAGTTCGATGAGTACCTGTACATTTATCTCTGTAGTGTAACTTGTGCTTTTGGGAACAGATAAATCTAACGGGTTTTTGATTACATTGACGGTTTTTATGGGCTGCTCAAATGCTGTTTTCATTTTATTTGCAACTATTTGACTCCTACACAGTTAGTAAGAGATATAACCATCAGGTAGATATTTCATAATAAATAAAAATACGGCATTTCCCTTTCTCAATGCAATATCTGAAAACAACTATGATGAATAATAATGAAACGATCAAGACGAACTCAGTGACTTATGCTTTCTTATGTCATGTGGTTTCAATATCAAAATATTGTCTACTGATTATTATGCTAATAAGCAGTACTTTGATTTGGCAGTCTCTACACCAGTGTGTCTGCGGTTAATTCGATAGGTTACATGCTCCCAAACATCAGCTTTTGTCCGAATTTCTGCAATGATTTACGTCTCACGCTGTGAACGCACAAACGCGCAAAGGTAAGCAATCGCAAAGCAGGCATAACCGACTGCTATAAAAGATGTGGTGGCCACTGAACTAATCATTTGCAACTAGAGCTAAACACGAATGATAAATCGAATTCCGTGTTGGGAGAAAACCTTTATTTTAACTCTGTTTCCAGTTTGTCTATTTCTGTATTGAGAGTAATCGCAAATGGACTATTACACAGTGGGAAAGTGAGAAAATATTTGAGAATTTTGAGGGGAAAATCTCTATAATGAGGTGAGGTCCAGTAGCTGTACAAAGGAAAAGAGAGTTTTGAATGGATGGGTTGAACCTGGTTAGCCATTTTTGACCACGTCCGCCTCTTAACTGAAATGCATAAAATTTCCTAAATCATTGCATAAAAAATACCTGGAGAGGAAAATAAAAGTAGCTATCACTGTTAGTAGGGAGTTCTTGTAAATTCAGTCGGTGAACCCTAGGAAAGATATAGCGGATGGATAATCTGTTGAAAAACGGACGTTTGTTGGGCTTTTCTGGGCATTTATAATTGCTTATCGTTTAAAGGGTTTACATAATTCCCTACGATCTCTCTTCTTCCCTTTTCAATATACAAGGGACAGAGATTTGCTCCTGAAACGTAAAACGTTCATAGCCACGTTTTCAGTTTATTATTGTGGCGCATTTCCAGTCGGCTTATCGTTTGATCGTCTATGCGCAAAACCACTCAGTCTACTCCATCTCAACGCAGGCTGTCCTCGAAAGTGTCATTTTGCTGGGTAACCGCGACAAGATAAAAAAGTGGAATGTGATTACATGAGGCATATTTTTTGAGTGACGGCCAACTGGCACTCCGGAAGTAACACTGATCCGTTCAGGTGAAACGAATGACTCATCAAATCTATACTGATGATTGAAATGGCGGTAAAACTGATGCGCTGGCCATAAATGGGACGAATACTAATTTGAATGCTGATTTGGCAAACCGGAATAGGTGTAAACTCATAAAAAACGAAGTACCACATACACACCTGTCAATTTAGTTCGTGCCGCGGATAGTGTCCGTCAATCAGACCCTGAAGTGGATTGACTTAGCATCAGAGAAAGCCCCAATGTATTTGTGATAAATTCATGGATTTAAACAAAAGGTTATTCGTTATATTTTTGTTTCGTTTTATCCTCATTTCAATAATGTTTTTGCAGTAATTTAGCTTTGATGTCTTTCTTCTTGTTTGCGTCAGATTAACTGGGTTCATTTTCACAATTCAATTGTCCTCAGTAAACAAACTAAGAATTCATCCGCCAACAAACCGACAATCTTTGCCCATCTAAATTGGCGATTGTGATATTCTTATTTGAAAATATCGCGCCATGGAGTTCAGTGATTAGACTGCTCAGTGTTTCCATATTTTCTAATTTTATTATGAAAAAAATAGTACAAGTTCATTTCAGATCTGCACACTCAACGATTGCGATCAACGGAGAAAAAGTTCCACCAACTGGTATCGTTCATAAGTAAATCCTAGGAGGACACACAAGAATCAGCGTCACAAAACCGACAAAACTGATTGAAAACTTCATAATTACCCGTAGCATTTATTGCAAAAAACATTGTATTGAAAAATGCTGTTATGGCTTGAGATGAATTTCACGAAAATGCAAGGCTTACATTCGGAATTATTATATTTACAAACATTCAATTTTTATTGGCGCTCAAAGCACCCGTGTTTGCATGCCAGGTCAGTTGTTGGATTGAATGATCTACACTTTGGAAACCAAAGTTGACTATAGGGCACGGAATAGCATTCACTATTGCTTCTATTTACTTATTTTGTTTCTTAAGATGGGCTACACTTTCTGGCTAAAATACTTGTTTACATAAGAAACAATATCAGAGTTATTCTGCTATGAATGAGGCATACTTAGATATGGCCTACAGAACTATAGACCTTGGAAATCCGAACAGCGTGGGGTTTCTTGAGCATAGAATCGTGCTCCTGTTCGAAATGTCAAAGGGTTGAGTCGCACACAGATTCCGTTTCACTGATTAATGAAAATTCACATTAGTTGGCATATCTTTTCCACGCAATTAATATTCAGTTTAATACTATTCCCTTCCTAGCTTGTTTTCTTCATTTGAGGTGACCTGACTTAGCCAAAAATCAAAATCGTTGTTTTTCCTTGGCAAGCGGAATACGCTCAATCAATCTGCAGGAGACAAGATGAAAACTTATTGACGGGAAGAGAACAAATACTGTAGGATTGAAAGATTTATTTTATTTTCCTAAGTCGCTTCAGCATAAAAGGACCTGGTATTAATACCAGACAATTTCGATTTAATGGGCCCATCAGTGGAATGGGAGATAAGTTCCAGAAGCAGTCCAAGGGTACTTAAACTAATTGGAAACAAACTTTATTTACATCACTTGGTTAGCATCACTCATGTTGATCATTCCATAAATGACCTTGTCTCCTAGTAAAACTACTATATAGCTGTTTCAAAATCTCAGTCGCCATTGTGTTATACCTCTGTTTTCTGGTCAAAGTAATGGCTTCGAAGAGTCCTCTTGGTTAAGCCTGTGGATTCTACATTTTAAATATGGCATAATTTTCTTGTACTGTGATCCTACACTCGTTAATGCCGTGAACTAAAAATATACAACTGAATATTATCAAAATCAGTTTTGTAAATGAATGGCTTCAGGAATGAATAGAACGGTACCGTAGAGATACACGTACCCGATATTCTTAGAGATGAGTTGGGAGATGTTCTGACAATATTTGATCTTCTTCTGACTTCACAAGAACTTGACATGGTACATAATTGCATTCAGTTGTCATACAATAATGGAGAGCAAATAAGATTTTGGTTCACTCTGGAAACTTTACTAGTAATTAAGTTGCCAACGAACTGATCCACAAGCCAAATTTCATACAAACACATTCCCCGCTCTTAATGCACAGAACTTTTATTTCTCAATTGCCAATTAAGTTACTCGTTGGTAATTAAACCAAGTAGATCAATCATGACCGGCAAGACTCCGGTTTCATACCCAAGAATGCATAATCTTGAATAGATTTTATTCAGCACAGGAAACCAACAGACTGTATGGATCTCATTTAGGACATATCGATTCCGTTTGGAATGATAGAAAAAGCCGAAACCTTAAATGAAACAAACAATAACTGATGCTCGGATGAATTTCGTCAATAATATTCTGAATTTACTTGCCTCAGTGGAATAACTCAATAGTGACCCTTGAGGCTCTTGTGCAGGTACATCCCACTCGTCAGAGTCAATGACAGAATCGTAGTCGCATGGAACAAGGTCACCGAAGGAGGAGCTGCGGATCTTGCTGTAGACCGGATCGATGACATCCGTATCAGACACCAAGCTGACCGCGTCAACCATGCGTGATTTCGGTGGGGAAGCGCGTGAGAAATCCAAGTTCACAGGTATTCTGACGTAACTGTAAGTATGAAACGGGGGGGGGG